TAATGACCTTTATCACAATATGCTAATTTTTTGAGAAGGACCTGTATAATATTAAACAGCAGCCTGAACATGAGTCTGTAGTATGAAGACAGCAGCTTAAAGGCAAGAAATCAGCAGCACAGATAAGTCACAAATCAGTTAAAGCATTAACTGATTTTTCTGGTTAGAGATTCATGAGTCTAACAGTCTCAGGGTAGAAGCTGTTCCTCAGTCTAGTGGTTCTACACTTAATGCTCCTTAACCTCCTTTCTGAGGGGAGCGGGGCAAAAAGTGTGTGTGCTGAGTGAGAGGGGTCCTTCGTGATGCAGGTGGCCCTCTTCTTGCATCTGGAGGTAGATGTCTGTTATGGTGGGGAGGCTGACTTCAACTGTCTTCTGTGCAGCCTTCACTGCATTATATTTGAACAATGTTTAAAAACATTCCATGTAAATGGACTGTACTTATATAACATCTGATGAGCTCTTTACAACACAATCTGTGCCTCATTTATTCATACAGCACTCTACTAGATCTAGACAAAGCTAATTGAACAAACCATTCTAAAGAGACTAATCAGAGCTTTATCACATTCATAGACCAATGGGACACACATCCACAGCAACTTTATCCCTGATCAGCCGGGTGTGTTCCTTGGTCTTCATGGTGCTGTTTGATGTAAGAAGTCTGAGGCCGACTGTTTCCTGTGGCGACTAGCTGCACTGGATGGAGGATGATCAGAGTAAAGGGGTCTGAAGACAAATGTATGCATTTAGATTGTTATTTAGTTTATGCTGCTGTGTGTTGGTTTGAGAAGGTTGAAGGTGCATGAATTTTTTTACGTTGAGGTTGAGATCGATGCTGTTGATAGTTACAGTCAAGGAACTTTGAATTTCTCCCTTTCATCCTTCAAGTCTTCAAAAGTCTGGAAATGCGTGAAAAAAATAAACTGTTTTGAAAAATATTTTATGATAATTTCTCACCCTCGATTTAAAAAAAGCTCAATATAAAAAGTAACTTTATGAAATATCTGCTTAAAAAGAAGAGCTCTTCTTTTCCCAAATCTGTTTTAAAAAGGGACATTGTGACCAAGGGTCAGCAATTCCATCACCTCGAGCTTTGACAGCAGTTTTATATTTATTCTATATTTATTGACGACGACATGCACACACCTCTAGACACGTTTGATGTCTGATGATAAAACATGAAAACAAAAAGTGTCTAATTAAAATTTTAAGATCACAAACATATATAAAAAAAGAATTTATCCTTTCATTCAGGCTGCAGTTCACAGAAACACAAATATCTGCTATAAATCTATAGAAAACTTGTTTAAAGTAAAAAAAAAAAAACAACAACTGGGTAAACATCTACACAGAAATAGTTTTGAGCATGCATCAGGATAGTTTTTAATCACTTTATTGATTTAACTTTAAAGTGAGTAAATAAGATTATACATTTCTGTTGTTTAGGGCGGCTGTGGCTGAGTGGTTAGAGCAGTCGTCCTCCAATGTGAGAGTTGGGGTTTCAAATCCAACAGCAGTCACATGCCGAAGTGTCCCTGGGCAAGACACTGAACCCCTCGTTGCCTCTGATGTGTGTCCCATCAGTGTATGAATGTGATCTAAAGCTCTGATTAGTCTCTTTAGAATGATTTGTTCAATTAGCTTTGTAGCGATCTAGTAGAGCTGTATGAATGGGTAAATGAGGCACAGATTATAGTGTAAAGTGCTTTGAGTATCTTGATAAGATAGAAAGGCGCTACACAAGTACAGTCTATTTACCATTGTTGCTTTTGAAAGTGTAAAATATATATATATTTTTACCTCATACTGTGCATCCAATTTTCAGCAAAGTGTTTTCTAAATTTAAATTATAAAATAATTTATTAGTTTAAGTTTCGATGTTGTTTTGATGAGCCTAACCACAGAACTCTGTCAGGACAGACTGAAGATTTATAATACATGAAGCCATTTTGAATTAATAACTCATGGGGGGGTTGGCAGCTGTTTTAATAAACCTGTTAATAAAGCTGCTCAGATGCATTGGTGTCAGAAGTGTAATGTGTGTGTGTGTGTGGGGGGGGGGTTCTGGGGGTCCTCCCCTAGAAAATTTTGAATAGACGTCATTTCCTTTACTCTGATGTATTTTAATGGGTTGTTAAACATATATGTTTACCCACATTTGTAAACACTTGATTCAACAACTATTTCAGAGAGCAACAAGTAGTCTGATCAACAGCTCCCCTTGTGTGAACAGTCGCTCCTCTTCTCTCATGCATCCTAACCCCCCCGTTCAACAACTGCTGACGCCAACGTGGTGCCAACCTAGAGCACAACACAGAGGTGTCCCCCCCACACCCACCCACCCCTAATAAATGAACGTCCTGCCAAGGCAAGAGGGCACACTGCATGTTATGTGGTGAGTTGTTGTAGGTAACCAGGAAATCCTGGAGTGGACTTTTAGTGGTTTAGTATTCTCCTATTAATCAATTGGAATGGATTAGTTCACAAAGAAATAGAAACCACGCTGAGTGAACTAATGTTTCATAGTAAATGTGGGTGGGTCCATACAAATGATTTTAAATATGAGCGAGACACATCCCCATAACATTTAATTGTTGCAATGCCTAAGGACAGATGCTCTGACTGACAGCACAGTCTAGCTGCCAGTGATCACACAAGTCCACCCAGCTTGTCAACATTCAGAACAAAAACCCACTCACACCACGAACACTCTGCCCTGTCATCTACTTGCTTTGACAAATACCAACACACCTGGTGGCTTTATTGAAAAGGACTCTGACAGAAACACTTCAATAAAATCTTTAGTCAAATTTAAAAAAAATACAAAATGTATTCTCTTCAGAATATTGTCAAGGACTGCTGAGCTCTCTTGAAGCAGCTGGTGGGCTTTCATTATTCTCGTTTTGACCTCGAGCCGTCAGGTAGCAACGATGCTGCTTGTTAAGGAGGAGCTCCTACATCGAGGCTCGAGACTAAACGGAATGCTTGCAGTGCACAGTGACCGTTCACACCTGGATTTAGAGCCACCCAAATATAAACTGATTGTGAAATGCACTGAGGAATCAGGGCTGTGGCTTTTATTTTATTAAACCACGGTAGCTAATAAGCTACATGCTAACATGAGTTCTGCTGACTCCCACCTTCATAAAAAGCCCAGCAGACCTCAAAATCAGTAACAACTGTTGTAGATCTGGATTCAAACTGGTTCAATATGTGAAAACACAAATGGGTTTTAAATCAATGAAGACAGATTGGGAACTACGCATTGAAGCACACACTGGAGTTCCTTGAGTTGTATGTTCCTGTCAGTTTGTAAGAAAATGGACGTTAGCAAAAATTTCAGACATCAGAGGTCATCCGACCTCACAAACGGTACGCTGCATGTTGGCAGTAAAGTGTAGAGATGCATTGTGGGAGGACACCAAGATGTCTCTGGGATTACAAGGATTACAAGTAAACTATTAGAAGTCCAAATGAGTCAGATAAAAACCAAAGAATAAAACCAAAGCTGCTGCATCAAACGTAGAAACCGGCATGTCGCCACTCTGCACTGGACGTCAGAAAGATTTGTATCTGGGTCAGCAGAAGCTGGAGCTGAACCCCATCCAGATGTTCAGTCGGACAGCGAAGGCGAGCGCAGAGACCTGCCGCTGGCCGGGCTGTAAGCATGGAGGTTGTCTCTGTCTTTGTCTCTGTCCTTCTCCTTGTCTTTGCTCTCATGCTTGTGCTTATGCTTGTGTTTGTGCTTGTGCTTTTTCTTCTTCTTCTTGTGCTCGTGGTGGTGATGGTGGTGATGATGGCTGTGGTCGCCTCCATGCTTGGAAGACGAGGAAGCGGTCTCCTTAGAGAAGGAGGGCACAGGTGTGCTGGGTATGGACAGCAAGGTCTGTTCCACCAGCGGAGGCTCCTTACCTGAAGAGGACGTTGGGAGAAAAATGTGAAAATTAAACACAAGCACTGACTGACAGCAGGATCAGTGACTGGCAGAGAGTTTGGAATATTAGAGGTCTAGATAAAAACAAGCTAATTCAAAGAAATAATTCATTTGTTGCAGCTGTTTTACTACATTTTATTTTACTTTTTAAAGTGGCACATAGTTGGTACCAAGTTGTTTCCTAACAATGCTTTTTTAGTTGGGGTGGGCTCCCTCATGAGGAAGAAACCTTCAGCAGAACCAGGCTCAGGACAAGTGGCCATCTGTTTTGACCGGCTGGGTTTGGTAAGAACAGATACACAATGGCAGGTCAAGAGTCACATGTTATAATAGAAATAGTATAAAATGAAAATTATTCATATGTATGAATTTGTAACTATTCATTTTAAGAAATGGGGTCAATTTGTCCTCTAGTAGTCTAAGCTTAAGACAGCATAACAAGCCAATCCTAACTATAGGATTTATCAAAAAAGGAAAGTCTTGAGCCCAGTCTTAAAACTGGACAATGTGTCAGCATCAAGGACAGAAACTGAAAGTTGGCGCCACCTGATAACTGAAAGATCTTACTCCCATTCTGCTTTTGGAAACTCTAGGAACCACAAGTAAACCTGTAGCTTTAAGCATTAGCAGGGTGAACTTGGTGAACTCAGCCCAGTGTTTAAGGTTGAGTCTGTGGATTTCTGAAGCAATGATCTGTCAAACAGTTCTAAAAAGTAGCTCATCAGTCATATCAGTGATAGAGCATGCAGTATGGAGAACAGGCAGGAGTCTGTCCATGCTAAACTCATTAATGGTTGTCCAAATGAGGGCTGGATTTTTATAATTGTTCAAACTTATAAAACATGTCTATAAAAATGACATACCAGTGTGAAGGAAGTCTCTAATCAAAGATTTAGATTTGACATTAAACACTTGGCGTACCTGGAGTAGAGGGTCTCTCTAACAGGTTGAGCTGATGGTGAATGAATGCCTGACTGTCATGAACAGTCTCCATATCAATATCTTCTTCCTCCATGGTGTTGAACTACAACAACACACACAAGATGACATCATGAATCATTTCTAAATTACATTTTAATACTGGCAATGTGTTTGTGTGGGTTACAGATGTTTCCTGACAGGATGTTGCAGATGTTATTAAAATGCTATCCAGGAGTTATTGGCTGGAGGCCAGAACTCAGGGACAAAAGTGTGAGACAGGAAAGTCACAGCGGCATCTAACCCTGATCTTGTAGCGACCCGCTCTTCCATCATCGTCCTGTTGCTGCAGAACCTGTCCTGGCTCCGGAGGAGACCCCATAGGGGTCTCAGCCTTCCTCTTCAGGCCCTGAGGAGGCTGGCCCACTCCACACACCCCCAGAGAAACAGGGTCTGGCTCGTCGTCCATCTGGGAGAGAGACACACATCAATATGAGCAGCATGTCTTATAGTTTGAATAAAAATTCAAAATTATATACAGTAGTCCCTCGCTACTTTGCGGCTCGTTTTTTGCGGACTCACTCTATCACAGTTTTTAAAAGTAAGATGGACATGACACACAATGGCTGATTGACGGATGAGCTGCATGATCGTCATGGAATTGTTTATTTAAAACGTTACAGTATTTAAATTTAAATTGTTTATTTAAGGAAGGAGATTGGGACTAACAGGTGATGAGTGTGATTACAGCCTGGCAAATGTCATGACAAAGTTTACAGAACTTGAACTGAACTTGGTGAGGGACCAGACAAAGTGCAGCCCAAAGACCCCTATGATGAGTAAAATAAATGGACTTGATGTTCCCTCACCCGGACGTGGGTCACCGGGGCCCCACTCTGGAGCCAGGCCTGGAGGTGGGGCATGCAGACGAGCGCCTGGTGGCCGGGCTTTTACCCATGGAGCTCGGCACAGCCCGAAGAGGAGACGTGGGTCCCGCTTCCCATGGGCTCACCACCTGTGGGAGGGGCCAAAGGGGTCGGGTGCAATGTGGGATGGGTGGTGGCCGAGGGTGGGGACCCTGGAGGTCTGATCCTCGGCTACAGAAGCTGGCTATTGGGACGTGGAATGTCACCTCACTGGTGGGGAAGGAGCCTGAGCTGGTGTGTGAGGTTGAGAGGTTCCGGCTAGAAATAGTCAAACTAACCTCTACGCATGGCTCTGGCTCTGGAACCAGTTTCCTTGAGAGGGGCTGGACACTCTTCCACTCTGGAGTTGCCACTGGTGAGAGGCGCCAGGCAGGAGTGGGCATACTTATAGCACCCCATCTTGGTGCCTGTGTGTTGGGGTTCACCCCGGTGAATGAGAGGGTGGCCTCCCTCCGCCTACGTGTGGGGAGACGAGTTCTGACTGTCGTTTGTGCTTATGCACCAAACGGCAGTTCAGATTATCCACACTTTTTAGAGTCCTTGGAGGGGGTACTGGAAAGTGCACCTCCTGGGGACTCCCTTGTTCTGCTGGGGGACTTCAATGCTCACGTGGGCAATGATAGTGAGACCTGGAGGGGTGTGGTTGGGAGGAATGGACCCCTGATCTGAACCCGTGTGGTGTTCTGTTGTTGGACTTCTGTGCTCGTCATGGATTGTCAATAACAAACACCATGTTCAAGCATAAGGGTGTCCATATGTGCTCTTGGCACCAGGGCACCCTAGGCTGCAGTTCGATGATCGACTTTGTCATCGTCTCATCTGATCTGCGGTCACATGTCTTGGACACTCGGTTGAAGAGGGGGGCGGAGCGGTCCACTGATCACTACCTGGTGGTGAGTTGGCTCCAATGGTGGGGGAGGATGCTGGTCAGACCTGGCAGACCCAAACGTGTTGTGAGGGTTAGCTGGGAACGTCTGGCAGAGTCTCCTGTGAGACAGAGTTTTAACTCCCACCTCAGGGAGAACTTCAAACATGTTCCGGGGGAGGTGGGGGACATCGAGTCAGAGTGGGCCATGTTCCGTGCCTCTATTGTCGAGGCGGCTTACAGGAGCTGCGGCCGCAAGGTTATCGGTGCCTGTTGCGGCGGCAACCCTCGAACCCGGTGGTGGACACCATCAGTGAGGGATGCTGTCAGGCTGAAGAAGGAGTCCTATTGGGCTTTTTTGACCTGTGGGACCCCGGAAGCAGCTGATGGGTACCGGCAGTCCAAGCGACAAGCGGCTCGGGTGGTCGCTGAGGCAAAAACTCGGGCATGGGAGGAGTTTGGAGAGGCCATGTAGAATGACTTCCGCACGGCTTCAAGGCGATTCTGGTCCACCATCCGGTGTCTCAGGGAGGAAAGCGGTACGCCACAAACACTGTTTATAGTGGGAGTGGTGCGCTGCTGACCTCAAGTCGGGATGTCGTGGGTAGGTGGGCAGAATACTTTGAAGACCTCCTCGATCCCACTGGCATGTCTTCCACTGAGGAAGCGGAGCCTGGGGACTCTGGGTCGGGCCCTCCAATCTCTGGTGCTGAGATCACCAAGGTGGTTAAAAAGCTCCTTGGTGGCAGGGCCCCAGGGGTGGATGAGATTTGCTTAGAGTTCCTTAACGCTGTGAATGTTGTAGGGTTGTGTTGGCTTACGCGACTCTGCAATATTGCGTGGACATCAGGGGAACTTCCTCTGGATTGGCAGACCGGGGTTGTGGTCCCCCTATTCAAAAAGGGGGACCTTAGAGAGTGTTCCAACTACAGGGGGATCACGCTCTTAAGCCTCCCCGATAAGGTCTATTCGGGGGTTCTGGAGAGGAGGGTCTGTCGAACCTCGGATTCAGGAGGAGCAGTGCGGTTTTCGTCCTGGTCGTGGAACACTGGACCAGCTCTACACTCTCAGCAGGGTCCTGGAGGGTGAGTGGGAGTTTGCCCAACCGGTCTACATGTGCTTTGTGGACTTGGAGAAGGCGTTCGACCGCGTCCCTCGGGGAACCCTTTGGGGGGTACTCTGGGAGTATGGGGTACCGGGCCCTTTGATACGGGCTGTTAGGTCCCTGTATGACCGGTGTCAGAGCCTGGTCCACATTGCCTGGTCCGCATTGCCGGCAGTAAGTCGGGCTTGCTCCCGGTGTGAGTTGGACTCCGCCAAGGCTGCCCTTTGTCACCGATTCTGTTCATAACTTTTATGGACAGAATTTCTAGGTGCAGCTAAGGTGTTGAGGGGATCCATTTTGGTGGCCTTAGGGTTGCGTCTCTGCTTTTTGCAGATGATGTGGTCCTATTGGCTTCATCAGATCGTGATCTACAGCTTTCGCTGGAGTGGTTTGCAGCCAAGTGCGACGCGGCCGGGATGAAGATCAGTTCCTTCAAATCCGAGGTCATGGTCTTGAGCCGGAAAAGGGTAGAGTGCCCTCTCCGGGTCAGGGATGAGGTCCTGCCCCAAGTGGAGGAGTTCAAGTATCTTGGGGTCTTGTTCACGAATAAGGGAAAAATGGAACGTGAGATCGATAGGCGGATAGGTGCAGCATCTGCAGTGAAGCGGGCGCTGTACAGGTCTGTCGTGGTGAAGAGAGAGCTGAGTCAAAAGGCAAAGCTCTCAATTTACCGATCAATCTATGCTCCCACCATCATCTATGGTCATGAGCTTTGGGTTGTGACCGAAAGAACGAGATCTCAGATACAAGTGGCCGAAATTAGTTTTCTCCGCAGAGTGTCTAGGCTCTCCCTTAGAGATAGGGTGAGAAGCTCAATCATCCGGGAGAAACTCAGAGTAGAGCTGCTGCTTCACCACGTCGAGAGGAGCCTTTTGAGGTGGCTTGGGCATCTGTTTAGAATGCCTCCTGGACGCCTCCCTGGTGAGGTGTTCCGGACACGTCCCACCGGGAGGAGGCCCAGAGGAAGACCCAGGACACGCTGGAGGGACTATGTTTCTCGGCTGACCTGGGAACGCCTCGGGATTCCCCCAGAGGAGCTGGACCAAATGGCTGGGGAGAGTGAAGTCTGGGACTCCCTACTTAGGCTGCTGCCTCCGCGACCCGACCCCGGATAAGCGGAAGAAAATGGATAGATGGATGGATGGAACTGAACTTGAGACTTGGATTACTGTATCCCTACTTTGCAGTGTTTCACTTATCGCTGGGGGGCTTCAAGGTATGGACCCCCCATGATAAACGAGGGACAGTAGTTCCTCGTTTATCGTGGGGGATCCGTACCTTGAAGCCCACCAGGGATAAGTGAAAAACCACGAAGTAGGAATAGTAGTACAAGTAGTAAGTAG